CATATGTAAAACTTTGTATATAAGAACAAAGATTTCGGTATTATCGACATATTTTAGCAAAACAATGTAGAATGTTATCATTTCTACTATTTGAAAAACAAAGTAGGGAAAAGACGCACGATTTTTAGGGCAAATTTTACCACTGTGTATAAGTTTTGTGGAACTACGTAAATCGAACCACAACACTAAATGCCTAAATCAGAATAGTTATCAATTTCATACATTCTTTCATGATGTTCAGTTCGATACATATGCAAATTATGGGATTTCAACAGGTATCCAAACGGGCTGCAAAAAGACCCTTTTTAACCCAGTGGGACACCATCGACAATGGGAACTAGATACTTGAGGCATTTCTAACAGCTGGGATAAAGAAAAGGTATTGATTGTGCATAAGGACCCCTGCTATCAATTAGATAAGGTAATGATATACATGCACAGGTAGTTTGTTCGGTTGGTCGTAAGTTTCGGGTTAGTCCCATGTATGTGACTGAGCATTAGAACATTATTTATGGCAAAGTTTTCTACCCCATTAATCTGGGGAGGATGAAAAACAGTTCAGTTGAAACGAATATAATTATTGTAAAATACATATGTTTTATTTCTTTAAATCGCTTATAGTTTTTATTTTTCAGATTTTCACTTGCCAACTGTAATAATTGACAAATTTATGTTAGACTTTTTAAAAACATCATATTGTGTCTTCTTCTGCCTCGCCCTCCCTTGTAAATACAATTGTATTTAACTTAAATAAAAAGTAATAGGCTTCATCTTCATCTGATTAAAAACAAGAACAACACGTGAATTTTAAAAGAAAGAGACCATAAGACTGTACTAAACGGTGATCTGGTATCCTGGGTATGCTGCAACACAATATGAAGAAGTTACTGTGTACATACGCACCTATTAATAATACACATGGGCAAACCATGTACCAGTGCTTTGTAATCCCCCTTAAGAATTGCAAGATTGATAAGCTTTGTACCATACTTTACAAACGAAAATATTAAATGTAACTCACCAACAGCATTTGCGGTTGTCATCACATGCATAAACAGAAGAAAACCAATCATTTTAAGTTTGTCAGGTTCCTTCATCTTGTTACGATTAATTGAAGAAAATCCTGGTATACCAGATCTTCGAGTATCTAGAATTATGTGCTTGCTATTTCCTCGTTATTGTTATTATTCCAAATTCTGACGCGCGATTGATTTCTATTAATGCTTCGAAGCAATGACAACAAACGGGCATTTCGACTTTCTATGGGAGGCTAATCTGTTTCAAAGTTCAATAGAAACCATGCATATTACTGCAAATGAATGCACAGTCTCATCGCTTTCTGGAGTCTCTTTTATGTTTGTTCATGTCTTGAACTTAAATTTTCGTCCGTTTCACATCAATTCAAAAGATATTCTAGGGGGAAATAAGCATTCTTAAAAAGAATCGTCTTCGCGTGTTTACCAATGACCGTCGACATTTTATTTGGAATGTCAAAAGCACACATATCCCTGCAAATTTATGCGAGGTCTGAATTTATGTTTTGGTACTCCCGGCCGGCTATTTCTTCAAATTTCATATAAGTCATAATTTACGCAGTTTCAAGTCAGAATTACAACCATTCTCAAGAACCTCTTTTTCCCATGTTTTATAGGGGCCGAGTTGTTTCTCTCCAATGAATGTGCATGTCACTCCCCCCCCCCCCCCCCCCCCCCAAACCAAAAAAAAAAGAATCGCCTCGTGAAGGGTTTGAGAGGGCAAAAAGGAAGCAAAGCTCCACCAAATTCTTGAGCCTCAAATTTCATAAAATTCTTATTTCGCATCATTTAATTGAGAAGCTCGAGGGGGAGAAAACTCATTCTTAAAGCTTATCTGCCGTAGTTTATAGGAGGGCTTAGACTGCCCTGCAAGGTCACTGGACAGGTGGTTATCTCATCAACTCAGCTCTCAGTTAACATAAGAAAAAGAGGATCATGGGGGACCAATGGTCACCGATTAGGCATTGTTTGTTATATAGAGGGCGCAAGTAGCTACATGTAGTGCAGTGGGCCTTTAAAGGACTTATCTATGCGTCTTGACCTTATTTGTGCTCACATTGTTTCTAAGGTCATGTAAAAGCACCTTAATTTCAGAACCATTAATGCCCTTGAATCTATTCATGGTCTCTACAGCTTTGTAAACCTCTGTGAACATTAGTCCATGCCCTCAAAATTCACATTACCGCAATTTCATACAGCGAAATATAATGGGAATAATATCCTTCTCGTTTCTTCAAAGCCTTTCTCTGACAAAGTTACATTTTTCATTCCTGAAAATATCCTCCAAAAAATTTAGATTGAAAACTTGACGTTCGGGTAAAAGACGTGGCGAACATGTCTTTGTATGAAGGAAGATATTTAACGTTCAAATATTTTAATCGGTGGGGAGTGTAGGGGAGGTAGTGCCCTGAGAGCTAGGGTCCTTGAAATGTTTGGCAAGACTATAAAAAGTACACATCGATTACACAAGGGAAAAACAATAATGAAAATATACATCTTATTTTTTTCTCCCATATTACTGTTGGGACCCTGTTTATTTGGGTTTATTTGGGTAACGTATTAGGACAATGTCTTCTAAATAGGGAGGGTTTATAGTAAAAGAAGAAGGGAAAAAAAAGAAGACAGGTTATTCAGAATTGGGAAGGGTGAAAACGATTTTGTTAGCTTTTTCATTCTTTTTATGTTAGTGAAATATGACAAGAAATAGCTGAAGTGATTGGACCAAACTTTTATGCCAAACGTTTGTGCACAGTAATGTATAGGCCTACGGTGCATGTGACTTTCAGCAAGACTAGTACACCCCTCCCTCATTCTCTCTCTCTCTCTCTCTCTCTTCCTCTCTCTCTCTCTCCCTTCCTCTCTCTCTCTCTCTCTCTCTCGATCTCTCTCGATCTCCATTCCTTACTCCCTTCCCCTCTCATTCTCATCGTTCTCTCGTTCTCCTTCTATTTCTTAAACTATGTTGCCTGCCTCCCATATAGTTTAAATCTCACTTTCAACCCCCCCCCCTCTCTCTCTCTCTCTCTCTCTCTCTCATTCTCATTCTTATTCTCTCACTATCTCCCTGTCTACCACAGTTTCGTCTCCCATCTGCCTATATCCCTACTGGCTAACTAGAAGTGTAGTCATTACGAACCTTTTCACCCATGCAATAAAATGTTTCACACATTGATATATTTTTCCCTCGGTTTTTTTAATTATCTAATCAAAAAATGTTGGTTTGGTTAGGTTTGGTTATATTTTCTGTATTAAAAATAGGCCTATTCCATTTTACCCCGGCCCCCAACATAAAAACATCCTCTGTACGACCATGCATTATGGCTCAAGGCATGGGCACACAGAATTTTTTTTTCTGTTGGGGACCGGGGGAAATTCAATGAATTATTGAAAATTTATTGCATTTTCTTTGTTTTTTTTTATTTGTAACTTTATTTGTAACTGCCCCCTACCCTATAGCCCCCGCTGCGTACAGTAATGGTTCAGTGGCATAGCAATGGCCTCGTAACTGTGAGGCCCCAGGATAAAAAACGTGTCGATGTGCCATATTAGTGCCCTTTTGTGGGGCATTAATCCTCATTACTGTCATTTATGACGGTATTTTTTCACTCCAAAATGTTTCACTCTAAATGTCTCTCTAATGACGCCTTTAACTGAAGGCGTCATTAGAGAGACATTTGGAGTGAAAAAAAAATTAAGTAGACATTGTCATTAGGAGGACAATTTGGTGTCCTCTTAAAGGGATAGTTGAGTTCTGTTTTCAGACTGCGAATTCATTCAAAGTGCATGGTTATTGCTCTTATTCTTATCTATGACATTTCTTCTAGTGCCCTTTTAGAACCTAAAATTGATACGAAGGTAATTTTAGACCCCAAAATGTGTGAAATTTAGTCAATACGAGCATACCAATTCAGCTCCACTTTTAAAAAAAACACGGTGACCGTTAAATAATTATTTGATTAAAAAATAACAATACATGGGCCGGCTGGTTGCGCGTAATATAAGCAACAAGAAAAAACCAACAAAAAAGCCAACATCGGCATTTGCTGAAATACGACGTAAAAGACGTTATTTCATTGTTTTCAACGGTTTTTTCAAATTTTTCAAAATATCTAATATTTGTGGTGGTACACAAGTATTGGAAATCGTTATATTTCAGCCGTCTCTGAACCGATTTTGATCAAAGATGATTTTGTCATTTAAATATTATGTTCTTTCAAATTTGACACTCAGTTTTTCATTATCTCACAAAAAAAAACTGTTTTTGTGTAGCGCCCTCTGCAACAGAACTCAAATATCCCTTTAACGTTTTTTATAATTTATTTCTCATAGAAGGCCCAAATTGTTACTAAAGACGTCATTGGAGGGACATTTGGAGTGAAAAAAAATGAGTCATTATGTAGACATTAGGGTTAGGGTTAGGTTTAGGGTGAGGTTTAGGGTTAGGTTTAGGGTTAGGTTTTAGGGTTAGGATTTCTATGATGTCCACTTAATGTACCATGTAGGGTTATTTATATATATATATATATATATATATATATATATATAAGTACAGCTACGTCTCACGTTCCTAGACCTTTTTCTTCACGCCTATATATATATGTGTGTATATATATATATATATATATATATATGTAAAACTCATTCATATATTGGTATATTGGTTAAGGCATATGAGTGACCTGGGTTCGATTATAGGCGGAGACATTTTCAACCTTTGCAAAATACTCGAAAAAGGAGGACTTTGATTTGAGCTACGCAACCATTATTCTCCCATTTCCTTTTGGATTGTATTCCATGAGATTTAACTTGAGGTGTCCCATTTGCAGGCCAAAAAATTTTGCGTTGTGAAATGAGACTAAACCGAGCAATATGTAAGCATACAAATGTAAGGTAGATGGATAAAAAAAAAACTGTTAAAACATTCGAGCAAAACGAGACGCAGAGAAAACAAATCACGCGCACAAGTCCTTTTTAAACACACTTTAATATTCATTAATCCATTGTATATGACATTTATTAATGACAATATGCTCCATACTATGTATATAACTTTAGTCTCTGATAATATAAGGCAATCGGTAAGATTTTGGGCATTCGCGATAATTGCGATGTAACATTTAGTTAGACAATAAAACCACAATCAAAATATGTTAACAACTATTTATACTAATTAACATTTTCAATTCAACTACTGTATGCTTTTTTCATTTAATGCGTAATATATCAAAAATAGATTTCAATTGGCTAACATGTATTTCATTGGAAAGAGGCGTATCATGTGTCGAGGCATTTAAGGGACAATGGCCATCAATGGAAATAGGCGCTGGTCCCACCATGTCGATGGATTGCAATGGAACAAAGCGACAGAGCCGAGCAGAAAGTGGCTGGTAGGTTCCTTTTCACCCCTTTCCTGCGTCTTTCACGCCCTTACCTTCCCATTTTTCCTGGTTGGGGGGCAGTTTCCCCTCGTACCCCACCCATAGCTACTCCGTTTATGTAATTGGTATCCGAGAAAGAGTGTGAAAATACGAAGCCTTAAGCCCATCTGTACTATTTGGCCGGGAGGAATTAGACCTCCCTGCATAGTAACTGACAGGTGGTTATCTCATCAAATCAGCTCGCAACTGACATAAGAAAAAGGCGACCATGGGATACCAATAGTCACCGATTAGGCATTGTTTGATATAGAGGGCGCAAGTAGCCATAAGTAGTGCAGTGTAGCTTCAAGAAGTTGCACCAGTGAGATGAGATACCACGCAAACCAATCATTAATGGTTTTTCCGATGGGCATGAGGCGTAATTTGGATCGTGATTACATGCGCTAATCACGCCTGTAAAAACAATGAGCCCATTCATCAGTAACTTGAAGCAATGGTTGAACTTGTTTGGTATCACGCACACATGCATGGCGTGTCCGAAAAGGCCACATCAGTGACTTACGCAGTCCTCCGTCACCAATAGGGACTTTTAGATTTGCGTGGACTGATACGTGTGACGTCCATTCCAGGCAGTGAATTAAAAGGAAGTCGATCGTAGCAATCCACGTTGTCGTTGTGCAAATCTAAAAGTCCCTAGTATGACGCATCGTGCACAACGGGATTTACAAATCGAGTGGGAAAAAAAAGACAAAATAATGACGGATCGTTCATCAACTTGCTAGAATACTTTGCATTATTCAAATTGATCAAAACAAATTTAAATCAGTGTAGATTATAAATATTTTAGAAACAAGTTTTATGAACAGAAAAAACATAAATGACTATATAATGATAAAACAAAATAAGAATTAGCAACGCCCATCATTAGCTATCTTTGACAAGCAAAAAAAAATATTTATACCACCATAAACAAATATATCCTAATATAATTAGGAGTTAAGGAATTTTAGGGGAAAAGTGATAAAGTAAAAGTAACCTCTAAAGAAAAACAAAATGCAGCAAAGTGTCTAACTATCATTGAAAGGTTCACATTTGACCCCTTTGACCCCGAGGCCGGTGACCCGGAAGATGGATCCAGCCAATGGCTGTGTTCTCTTTTGTTCTTCAGTGAGGAAATGTTTAGCGCTGGTCACGTAGAGCTCATCAAAGTTTGGTCCTCCCCAACAGCAGCTGGTGATGTTGGTGGTCGGGAAGCGGATGGTTTGCAACTTTTCTCCTGAAAAGAGAAAACAATTGAGACATGAAGTGACGATTATGAAGGGTGACATGATATGCCTTGGACCTATAGGACTTTCTTTGTCAGTGATGGAACAGTACTTACATACATTATTCTGCGAGAGAACGTGACGACCGAGCGAAATGCCTTTTGAAGTATTGAAACTTGAATTAGTTAATGATAGTTGGCTTATCTGTTCAAAGATTTTCGTTGGGCAACAATAAGTCACACCCTTGGCTACATAGCTAGACATGACTGAAGAAAGCTCATAAAAATGTTACAGTTATATAAAAACTTGGATAATTTTTTTTTCAGATGAAAGCTTGTCAAAGGTTTAACCACCCAAGCAGCCATCGATCTCCGCCGGCAAATCCATCATGATTTGTTAAAATGTGTAAAATTAAGGGACACATTCTTGTTATTATTATCAGCTCTTCGGTACGTTTGGTCTACAAGCCCCTCACCCCTTTCCCTGCCCCCATCCCCCACGAACATCACCTCCCCATTCGAATTTCTTTTTAATGTTAGTATATATCTGATTATGGTTTGGCAAAAGATTATGAGCGCCGCTCCTCTATTTTTCAGGGAAAATAACGTCTATCTAAATACATAAATATATATATTTAAGAGATCAACCTAAAGTAGTAGGTGACCCCATTTATATTTACCAAATGCATCTCTCAGATTAGACTTTTTGAAAATCATAATTCTGGGCGAAATTAATCATCTTGACGATCTTCAAGCATTTAAATTATTCTGAAATATTTCTAACAATCCTGGACCCGCCCCTCTATTTAACTTCCAATATTGATATTGGTAATCACCTGTTTTGGGGTTGTATCTGTTGATGACGTCGCCATTGAACAGTGCAACCCACAGCATACCCTCACTGTCAATACACATACCATCTGGGAGGCCCTCTTCGTCAGGAACCTTCACAACTTGACGGCGGTTAGCTGTGAGGAGAGAAAAGTAATTAATTAATGCTAAACTTTGTGGTTGGTTCAGAAATATGATTTAGCTGGAGCAGAACAGTTCCAGTCGTAAAATCAAGGGTAACGTTTTTTTAACTTAGATATTTATCTCCGACTATTTAAACCTGGGGGCGTTTCACAAAACTTGTCATCGGTGACAAATAACAGTTTTTATTATAAGCTATTGAAATCCTTGCTTCTGATTGGTCATCAACAGTTTTGTCACTGATTTTTGTAATTTGTCATTGAAAAAAGGCTTTGTGATACGGGCCCTGAACTCAGGTCAAGAACATTACATTTTTACGTCTCCGTACAACACCGCCATCCACTTTGGCTCTGCATATGCCTGCATATTATTATAGTAAGTGTGTTGATTAGCCTTATGAGACAAAAATGGCGATGGAATATAAAGAAAAGTTTTATTAATAGTCATTTAACTTAAATTTAAATTGTTAAACCTCCATACCTAATAAAAACGTGTTTTGATAAAGCCCTTTATTTTCGGCGCCCGTTCTGAATCCTATAAAAATATGATTAATAAGGACTTTCTTTTTATTTTTACGAAATTCAGTCGAAAACTTAAATATGATATTTAGCATTATTTATTAATTTTGGATGGGCACAATATTCGGGCAGCCTAGTTTCTAAACACCAATCAATTCATATTTGAAAATAAGAGTCAATGTTGATGTTGCTGCTTTAACTTGTTGATTGCGATCTAAACATGTAAGTAATTCTCAATTCTTGACGCTGTTCTGCGCTTGCTCCTTTGACTTTTCGGGCAGAGATGGTAACATAAAATGATTTTTTTATTTTTCTATTTAAATTTTAATATATATAAAGTAAAAGCTTTTACCAAGTTCGGCGGTTTCGTGGTTATAGTCGAAAGCATCGACGCCATGTCTGAGAGTATCTATGTAATACAGGGTTTTAAGATCAGACGTCCAGGCCATGCCGTTAGATATATCCACCTAGATGAGGAAAAGATTCAGAATATATAAGGTTTGAGATATTTTTCTTGTTTTTATTTTGTCAATAACTATTTTTCTCCGCTTCTGTATTACCTCCGTCTGTGTGTTTGCTACAGTGTGTTATCTTTACAACCCTGCATCTTGCCAGTCGATAAGGAAATATTTGGTAATGGGGAATATATTGGGTAATTTTAAGGCACATTCTTTTATTTTCTTCCGAAATCAAGATGACTTATATATAATATATTGCATCTGTCTTTACACTGTCTTGTTAATTATAAACATTAGATTCCTCTTCTTTTCTTTTTTTTTTTTCGAGTCGTTTTTTTTTTTTTTTTTTTTTTTTTTTTGGGGGGGGGGGGGTGTAGAGGCGTAAAGCGTGGCAGCTTGAAGGTTTGATTTGAGCTGCAATGCAACCCCTCCCCCTCCCTTAAAGGGATCGTTTAACCATGATAAATCTGAGATGCATGACCCTACGTGTAATCAGTGTCTGTGATAATATGTTACATTGAAGCCCTATCGCTTCAAAATGATAGAGAAGTGCCTCAAAAAAGTAAAAACCTTAGAGTGACCGGTTTTACCATACTCGTTTTTCCCCCAATAGACTGTAGTGTTATGAAAACCGTTTGGCAAACGCAAAATTTGATTTCGATTTTCAATCATAAATATCTTGATAATTAGACAGGCGATTGGCTTGTAAAAGTCATGGGGTTCCTGACTGACCTAAAGGTTTATAATTATCATTGCAGCATGAGCTAAATCAAGGATTTTTTTTTTTCAGAGGATCTTAGACAATGTTACCGGATCCCTTTAATCCGCCCCTAAATTGTTAACCAACTTACATCATCGACATGTTTGGTGACCTTCATGTTAGTGTGTAGACAAAAAAGAGAACCCTTTCCTTTCTCGACACCAGCCAGTACTTCCTCAGCGCCCATTGTACCTGTATAGAAATATGTAATAAGCATCAATATATTGTTAATGACAGGTGGATTTAATGTCTCGGGTCCACATTCTACTAAAGGTTCGTTCAGATATGACGCGGAAAAACAACGGCTGGTTGTTTTTTGAATGATGATGTTAAGTGTATACGCTTTACATTCCTGTATCTTTTTACACATAGCTCAGTGCATATACGAGCAACTCCGTTCTTTGCACGCAACTGCCCTTCACTTACACGTTTAAAGGTAAAAACGAGGCGGACTTTTGTGTGAGTGCGGCGCCCGGCCCCCCCACTCAGTGTTATTTAGGGTACGCATATGCGTGTTCCAACCGACCCCCCCTTTTCAGCAAAAGTCCGGTGTGTAAAGTCAATACGGCTCGACCTTTTTCTTTTGTATACGAGCCTTTTTCCGGACCCCCCCCCCCCCCCCCCCTTTTCAGCAAAAGTCCGGTGTGTAAAGTCAATACGGCTCGACCTTTTTCTTTTGTTACGAAAAGGACATTTTGGCAACACGCATGCGGTCATTTTGAAACCTGAGTGGGGGGGGGGGCCGGGGTGCGGCGGTTAAAGGAACAATGAGAATCACAGCACAATTTGCCAAGATGGTTATTAGTTTGTGACGTCATGTCCTCACAACTTATCAATAGCTTTATATAGTTTAATCCCATTAATTTCCCTTTTTATCCCCCAAAACTTGATTTCCCCATGCCTTTGCCCAGGTTATATGATTTGTATCATATTACGTGCATGACATTTCCCTAAAACTTTTATGAATTTTGAAGAATTTATACTTTTTTCTGAATATTGTATTTCATAATTATTGATTTTTATATAAATAGTTTATCAAAATTCAATTTTTCATGATTTAACTGGACAAAAATTACTCTTTATTTGTGCATCCATACAAAAACATATCACTAACAATCTAACTTGGATCCTGGTGTGAAGAAATAAGATTCTTAGGGTGAAAATAGGAATTTTATATTATCAATATAAAGAAAATAATTAGTGGATAGTGAGGACCATACGTGACAGATTCATAAGTGAGTTGCCAATTTGTGTAGTGATTTTCAATTTATTTCATGTCATTAAAAATGTATAACTTTGTTATTAGTTATCCGATTTTGCTCAAACCTTTTTCGATTGGTTTGTCTGATTTTTCTGGTTCTATTGAAAGTAAGTTATTTTTGGAGTGGACTCGGCCTTTAACCGCGCCATATATCTGAACAAGCCTCAATTCAGTCAAAGCGACAGAGAAGCATTGGTTCTCATTGGGAATTGTGACATTATTCGGGTATTTCCCCGAATAACAGTGTCACCAACCACCGGGAGTGGCCTTCATGTTCACGACCAACAGGTCTTATGTAATGTAAATGCGTCCTCACCAACAACCCATAGGGAAAACCTCACCATCATCAAATGACCCAGTCTTTCCGAGAAACTGAAGGGATGCTCAAGTAAAAAATAAATTAGGTGGGTTATCCAAATATCGCTAGGCGCGAGACATGTGAACACAGTCTGTTGTCATCGAATAATGACATATGAAGGGGGCCCTATGTCTGTCTCTACTTTTTTTTTTGTGGGGGGGGGGGGGCGGGGATGAGGTGCACATTTGCACACCGAATCGCTACTGAATCGACGAAACACTGTGTTCAATATAATGTCCATCGTTGCTGTCAATTTTGGCATCGTCGTTGTTTATTTGTTCGTTCGTTCCTCTCTCATTCCGTATGTTTGTCATCAGGCAATGCAAGTGAAGTCTTCTTTTAATGGTCGGACTTCTTTAGAGAGATGATGCCTATTATTATCGAGCCATAAGTTGACAGAAGGTAAAAAGGAAAACAATCCATATAATAAAGGAATTTTTGCCAGCACTGAGTAAATTAAGGCGTTTATTTCTCTCTCTCTGTCTCTCTCTCTCTGTCTCTCTCTCTCTCTCTCTCTCTCTCTATGTCAGTCTCTCTCTCTTTCTCTCTGTCAATAGCTCTCTCTTTCTTTTTATTTGAATTAAATTTGAAGATATCAGGCATTGTTAGTTTTGAAATATTTCGGTGAATGATTTGAGGGTCACATGCATGTTGAATAATCACGAAGGAATAGCTAGTGCATTGTTTACCACAACATCAATCTATATTGCGCGCGACAACGATTTAGTAAACACGATTTCCAAACTATAAAAATAGGAAAGAATATATCCATTTACCTGTAATACCTTTCTGTTAAAGCCGGAATGCAATTTTTATTGAGTTTTAATTTTAAAAAGCCGTCTTTGTTCTCTTTAGATAGCTAAGAAGCCCATGTACAATACACCCGGTTGTTGAGGACGAGGTCAAAACTATAATACAAGCCTACTCTAGAACCGGTGATCCGAGAAGAAATAAAAAATACAGTATTATTTTGTGTCCTTCAACAAGGCCAATGGTTCTGTTGAACCCTGTCGGTTGCAATCACGTCTCGCAAAATAGATTTTGTATTGTCATGACCTGTTTAAAAGTACGGGTTTTGATCCTCGATCAATACGTAACATCATTAATACAACTAGTAAGCATTCAATAATCATAAGGAAAATTCAAATTCCCTCACGTGAGTGATCTTGTAATTTGACCCAAAAAATAATTACCATTAATAATTAATTACTTTGTCCTGGTATGGAAATTAACAGGGTCCAATGATGTTGCCAGTAGTTATTCAAATACGGTTATGTAGTGTGTGTGTGTGTGTGTTTGTGTGAACTTATTAAGTCCTTGTATACATTTGGTTTGTTTGTTTATTGCCGGTTGTTTACGTTTTTATTTTGTTATTATTTTTTTTCCTGATCTGAATCCAATTCAGAGTGAAAAATCCCCCCATATAATCTACGGCCAAATACAGAAATTGAAGCGTTTCTCGTCCCCGCCCGCCTCCCCTTTTTTATTGTTTACTACCTTAATTATCCAGAAGAAAAAGAGCCACAAAAAAGGCTGTAATATACATTTTGTTTAACATATAATTTTTTCGTCATACATTGCATCAGTGTTCTCACATAGCACAATATCTGTGAATACATAGGCTTGCCAGCTATACTTAGCATGGCAGCCATCTTGGGTAAAAACAATTGTTATTCAGCCATATGGAAATGACGAAGTTTTTAACTGTTGTGGAGTTTGTTTAAATACCTTTTCGTTTTCGTTTTCAAAGGGAAGTCCCCTTCTCCTGTGCCCACTGAAAATACATGAACTTATACTAAAATATATTGATATGGATAACTTTATTGTTTTTTCATGAATTTTGTTTTGTTCTTAATTTATTTTCGTTTTGTTTCTTTTACATGTCTGAAGCTTATTCGGGGGGGGGGGAGGATTTCCCCCTCCCGCCCACACTCAAAGACGCTATACTGTAGAGCATGCACAAATATTAAAAAGTCGCTATACTAGTACCTGCCCACAATCTACCGGCGGGGTCGCACTTGCCGTCGTTGAATCTCGTCGTCGGCTTGTCCTTGTCGACCATGGCTACCGTCTCGAAGTTCCCCGTTCTCCAGTCCACATAGCCCATCTTATGCTTAGCAGCGACCAGAGTCTTGCCGCTGCGGGTCGGGACGGAGGCTCCTACGCTCTCGCCTGAAATTGTGTTGAAAGGGAGATGGAATGGAAAGCGATGAAACAACATAATGGATTAATTGTCTTAAAACAATACTGGGGAGCGGTTTCCCAAACACTAAGATTGACTTTAAGTTGGACTGTCGATCACAAGGTCCGCGGTTCGAGTCCCACCGCCGCACTAATGTCCTTTGGCAAGACATTGATCTACATTTGCCACACTCCACCCAGGTGAAGTAAATGGGTACCTGGTAGGAATGTATTCCTTGAAATGCTAGAACGCGCCATATGACAGCCGCGCTAAAGCCAGGGTAATAATCGGGAGGGTCAAATCTGACTGACATGAGCGCTATACAAGAACCCACTATTATTATTTTTAAAATCATCATCACCATCAGGCATCATCATCATCATCTCCATCCCACCAGGCATCATCATCATCATCATCATCATCATCAGGCATCATCATCATCATCAGGCATCATCATCATCATCATCAGGCATCATCATCATCAGGCATCATCATCATCACCACCACCACCACCACCATCTCCATCCCATCAGGCATCATCGATCATTATCATCATCATCAGGCATCATCATCATCATCACCACCACCATCACCATCATCATCATCATCATCACCACCACCACCACCACCATCACCATCAGGCAGGATCATCATCACCATCATCATCATCATCATCGTCACCATCATCTTCACCATCACCATCATCATCATCATCATCATCAGACATCATCATCATCATCACCACCACCACCATCACCATCATCATCATCATCACCACCATCACCATCATCATCATCCTCATCACCACCACCACCACCACCACCATCACCATCAGGCAGGATCATCATCACCATCATCATCATCGTCACCACCATCACCAGCATCATCATCATCATCACCACCACCACCACCACCACCATCACCATCAGGCAGGATCATCATCACCATCATCATCGTCACCATCATCTTCACCATCATCATCATCATCATCAGGCAGGATCATCATCACCATCATCATCACCATCATCATCATCAGGCATCATCATCATCATCACCATCACCATCAGGCAGCATCATCACCATCAGAAATCATCGTCATCATCATCATCATCATCCTCATTAATCCCTCCATCGACATCCTTACCAATATCGACCTTCTCGTCCTTCTGGGAGGCGACATCATAGCGATGGATGGCGTTGCCGAAGATGTCGACGTAATAGAGTTTATTGTTGACGTCATCCCAGTGAGGGCCTTCCAGGAGATAGCCCATATCCTTGAGGTACACCTCGACAGTCATGATGAGAGTGTAAGATCTCGGTTTCTAGACGACAAGATACAATGTGAGATATAATGGCCCGAATTCACAAAGGAGGTTTAATTTAACCTATGATTTAAACCCTCCTAGATCATTTACATAACCCATGGTTTAAAATAAGCGCAAATTTAGTGTACCTTGCCTTGCGCACGACTAATTTTGGACCTCTGACTGTGTCGCGCTTATTTTCAGTTTTAACATTGGTGTGTGCGACAAGGAATTTTTTGTTAATCTCCGATGCTATATATTTGCCCTTTTTTTTAAACGACTTAAAACATTATTTGCGAAAAGTTAGGAGGAATAGATATTCTACCTGACAAAATTGTTATAGCTGCGTATCAAAACGGTATAGATGTATATCTCAGGCTTATTACATTACTGTATGCAGACGATACAATAGTTGCGATACAAAACTGAAAGTGATGCCAGTGTTAAAAGCGCTATGATCATGGAGCTAATTAATACCGATTTTTTTTTTTTTTTTTTTTTTTCTGTTTCTTTTTTGTTTTCTTTTTTTCTTTTTTTTTTTCTTTTTTTTTTTTTTTTACCAATGACGTGAATCCTTGATATAAATGGAAAACCGAATTAATGTAGAATACAAATATAAAGGAATAAAAAGTATCTACCCTTTCATTATTGCACAAAAGCAAGTTAAAAACCTCATTTATGCAATCATCGGTCAACAGCGGTCGAATTTGCGGTGCTTAATTAATGCAAAGTCAAAGTGAATATGCGTACTCATTATGATGATTTCATCAAGTCGATATAGAAAATGTTTAGGTCGTAAACTTCCCTGATAATCAAAGCTTAATATTTTGAGTTTTCTGAGAGCTGATACTCCTCTGACAGACACTAAAATGGTATATAATTGAAATTATTCTAATATATGGCTTATAAGCTTCCCGTTGAAGATAAACTTTCACTGAATGTTCAAGATTACAAATAAATGTCATGTGCCAAACAATTTTGGAAGAAAATGTATACTGGCTAAGTAATGAGCATAGAAAGATAAGGAAATCAGGGTAGTACTAGCCCCGACACCATGTGTGTTGTCCCATATACATCTTTCTGTGTAAGCGATTGTTACTTTACCAAGACTTTGCCAAATTTATGATGATTTTGATGACTCCAGAACCTTGCATTACACATTATTACTTACATGCTATATGATCAACTTTTCTGATCCATTCCACACCTTTTCTTTCACAATGCAATCACATTACCAGAACTCAAGTTTATCTTGAATAATTCATCCATTTCATGTTTAAAGGTAATGCAAAGTTTTGGGAAATTTTAAAAATTGGTTGGCCTTAATAATTCTTTAAAATTTGGATATATTTGGATGCCCCCTGTGGATGTATTATAAAAACTAGAAAATTTAGTTCCTAAAACACTTCTGCTTTCGAGAAATTGAACAATCAATAATTTACCGGTGCTCCCGGTAAATTTCAAATATTTCAAATACCGCCTAAGGCCATTCATGGTAGCTGCGACCATGAAAATCTTAGAATATGCAGTTCTGATATATAATTTCCAAGCGGAAATAGCAATCGGTCCTTGTAGTCAATAAACATTCTTTCAAAACTAAAGTAATATCAGTCTTGAGAGGGCGCTATACATAATAAAAAGTTTATTAATTACAGTTCATCCCTTTAGACACGATTTCAACCACAACAACGATCATTGAATATTGTAAAATCGCATATGCTTCTATTATTATGTTTATTTGAACTATATTCATGACCCCATACCAAAACTTTGTAATACCTTCGGATATCGGACTTAAAAATAGATTGCCTTGTCGTGTGTCGAACCTTCACGCATGGGCTGCTCTCCTCTCTCCTTTGAGACTTGAGTGTATTCAAACGATGAGAATCGTTACAATTACGTAACAGGCACAAATTGGAGGACAAGGATATCACCGCGTGACCTCATCAAGGCCCTGGGAGCGATTTATTTTCTTCCATGCAGCAAAGTGCGTGTGTGTCTGTGTGTAACTGGGGTTTTTAATTACAGACGTGTATCAATCAAAGATGATAATTTACGGCCTTCAAGTGAATCTTTTGTTAAAAACGTAAGCATAATATTAGAAACAAATGCCTAGAAATACTCGATAGGCCTAGGTCCTATTCTCGATTCTCCTTTTTTTTCTCCTCCCCCCCCCCCCTCTCTCTCTCTCTCTCTCTCCCTCTCTCTCTCTCTCTCTCTATCTCTCCCTCTCTTTCTCTCTTCCACCTTGTGTAGTATAAACATGCAGCAACATTCATCACACGTTCACTTACTCAGCTCTCTGTCTTCGCCTACAAACTGGCTCAGGCGACCCTGGTTTGAAACTGAGTCACGACTTTCGGATGGTGACGTTAAAAGTCGGTCCCCATACGTAAATAATCAATATTTGCAAGATTAAACACATTGACAATTTTCGATATTCATAACATCCAAATTGCGATCCTAATGTATTACGTGAAACTTAATTTGGCACCTCTTATTATAATAAATCTATTTCAGTATAATAAAGATTACCATAAATATAATACCCGTTCCCAATCTAAATTCCATTTTCAATTAGCACTCGACCACTGTTATGGCATTTAAATCTGCTGGTACTCGAATATGGAATTCCCTCCCTTCTGATTTAATTTCCAGCATTTATGTTACTTCATTTAAAACCAAACTCAAACGTTCAATAATAACAACCTATGCCAAATAAACTTGTAATTTCATCTCTCCTCTCTACGTTTTCTTATTTCGCCTTTTCCTATTTCCCTTTACCTGTATGTTTAGTGATTAATGTTTTGATGTTTTTTTTAAACTAAGTTTGTTTTGTATCCCATGTTTATTCTATGTTTATTTCTTTATGTATTGGAGGCCCGGATTGGATGCCCCATTAATCAAGCCTTGGCTTTTATAAACAAAATCTGCGTATGGCGTTATCATACCAAACGCGATAACTATCTTCTATCTAATGTTACAGATGAGCAATTACGGTTTAAAAAGACGATGGGGCGGAGAGATAATATAGATCACTATGTAGGTCATTATTATCGACTGCGCCTTACTGACAACAATTATTGCCGATCTGCAAGAGTGAAGAAAAAATAATGTAATATACGGAAATCGCAGTATATCTTGCAATCTTATTTCTGTCCTAGTGGAGTATTTTACCCCAAAGTGTTGCCAAATAATTGATAAAAAGGTAAGAAACTTACCCCAAAATGGAGCTTAAAAGGGGCAGACGATGAGCTCTCTAGCAGACGACGTTTTCCCCGGGCAATAACAACTGCTGTGAGTGTGGATTCGCTCCTGCGACAGAGGGGTTTATAAAGGGTTCCGCATCGACAACGCCTCGCTCTGCTCTTTGATCTCAAGCACTCATTGGGAGAGATAGAGCGCCCCCATTCGGTGAACCTAAGGTGAGACGTGAGGAACGAAAATCCCAACGAAAAATAAGGGGAAAGAAACGAGAAAATTAAAGTATTAGTGGTACGGAAAAAAAAGCACAGTCCTCATTGTTCTGTATTTGTTCAGATATATTTGCGCAGAGGGGGCGTGTTGTAACAGCGAATTTTCTTGATATCTTAATTTCTTCATTATTTGCCTTCTTCTAATGATCTTTGCTCTGGAGAGGTGGGACGGCAGTAAACAGCGTTTTTTTTCTATTTATTTTGGAAGGCATGTGAATAGAAGGCCTAAAATTTATTTGAGGATAAAAATCGCCTCACGCCAGCTTTGGTTCTGATCCCTTGCAACCGATCGATTTAAAAAAGATAACGTACAGAATGTTTGCAAACCTTTGATCATAGATTCACAAAATGTCGTTTTGAAATAACATAGACAATGTGATTTGATGGGAAATTCAGTCACTAGTCAATTATAAAGATTCGATTTTTACAAAGAAGAAAAAGAAGGACACAATGAAACGAAAGATACAAAGATGGAAGGGGGCATTCAACGGAAAATAATTAGAAAACAATTATTGGTAGGCCTATTGTTGGATCCTTTGTAATAAGTTCATTTGCATATAAAAGCAGACAAATAAGATAACCGGAATGGCGCAATTTTGAAATAAATCGAACTAATAATAAGGAAGTGATGAATGTTTGAAATCACTAAGTCTATGTGAATCTCAAATTGACTGTTTGGTCAGTGGATTGTGACGCAGCCGCGGATAAAGCTCCTGTTAGAGCCGTGTACAAAAATATCATTAACTTCTTTTTTTCTTCTCCTAAATGCCTTTTCCCTTAGGGTAATACTCAACATAGGCATATAATGGATAGCCTATTATTGTAGGTCCTCTAAAAAGAGTAGGCCCTCCTGTACATTACATCTTTTTAATTGAAATTATAGTCATTTTGTGTTTTTGAACTAATGGACAAGTTGTCCGCCATTATACTCACAGAGACATTACTGATTCGGCCATTTTGAAGAGCTCACATCTATAGTGATTGCAACTTTCAAAAACATATAACTTTTTCCTATTGTGTCCTATTTTATTCAAACTTCCAACGGTCTACTTCTCTGTTTTGTCTGCTTTCCTCGGAGAATAATTTGCTATCATGGTTGGATTTCCCTTTAACTAGAAGTAGTGCGCAAATAAAACTGGGCCTTCTGATATACATAGTCATTGTTAACATCTTGTTGTAAATTCTGTGTCAAAGATACATGTAAGTCCAGCGGATTTCAAAGACTAGGCCTATATAATTACACTGTAAAAAAGAATTTGTTCATTGGTAATTTTTACGTATTTTTTCCATGTAGAATTTACTTGAAAACATTAGTTTTGCCACTTACGCACTAAATTTAAGTCTTGCTAACTCAAACTTTCAATTTAGTAGAACATGATACGTGGAATATTGAAGTAAAATCAAATACATAAGAACTTTAAGTAATTTCAGCTTGTATTAATTTAGTAATTTTAACTCAAAATCAGAAATTATACGTATTACTCAAACAATTTATGTTGATTATTCTTATCTTTTTAAAGTAAGGACCGATGCAGTGCGTAATAGAAATATTTACATAATTTATGAATATTCATTAAGACCAAATTAAACTCTTTTTTAAATAAAACAATTCTTTTTTGTGGTTGAATGAAAATTTAAGGACTTTAAAAAATTTACTAATTCATTTAACATGGCTAAGCAAAGACAAGACAATTTTTAATTGTTACCCAGTTCAAAACAAATAAAAACTTGATATTTCAGGAAATTGTCAACCAATTTTCCTTTTAAGATGCTACGATCAAGTATATATAAAATTTGGAGCCTTTCAATATGTGTCGAATTGAAGCGTATGTAATAGTTTGTGATGGTGGTAGATATATATATATATATATAAGTAGTTATAGCAGTGAGTACCGGGACGCGTTATTTTTTTATGCGGCACAGATTGGGGCTTTTTTTTTAAAGGGATCTTGATTTACAGACTAATAATAGTGGTCGTGTGCGTAAGTAGTAGAGGTCTGTTTTTAATAGTGTTACGTGTAATCCACTACCGTATAGAAAATCATTACATCAGCAATTAAAATGAAATTGGAAATCTGAAGAGGAGGCAGCACGTCAATAAGGAGAACATCAGAATAATTAGTCAATAAAACTTAACTAACTTAAACGAAGAGGAAAGTTATCTAAACACATAGTTCGCGATGGATATTCAAACTTCTTCGAAGCGCTAATGCGCTAGCGAACATGATTAGTCTCACGTACGTGCAGACACTATTCAGAAGGGAAAGAACGTACTTCCCATAGGCTCAACACGTACCATGCCCCAATCTGTGCCGCATAAAAAAATAACGCTACCGGGACGGCCATAGGTTTTGTACACGAATTTTTTCGTACTTATACTATTTCTAATTGACTCGTGTACATTAACTTTGACATAGTCTATTTTCGAGTAAAAACGGACTTATAACACGCGTGTCTATGGGGTTTTGACGAGGTCCTGACTTTTTGAATTTAATTAGGGATTTGTCATTTTGGACTTGTAAATTTTTTCGATAAAAACTGACTTATAACACGCGTGTCAATGGGATTGTGACTTTATGAATTTTACTTAGTGATTTTCTCTGTTGGACTTAGTTTTTTTTCAAGCAAAAAGTGAATTACAACACGTGTTTCTATGTGAATTTTGACATTTTGAATTTTACTTAGAGATCTTTAGGAATTATTGACGTTTTGAATAGTGGATAGGTATTTTATTTGTGGAACTGACTTTTAACACGAGTGTCTATGTAATTTTGACTTTTTGACTTTCTTTCTACCGGGATAATTTGTGTTTTACTTTCTAAGGAACGTTTACAACTCCGTTGTATAGGTTGGATCAATATCTATTGTTCGATCAACTAAATAAAGGAACGTGTATTTACCCATACTGTGATCCTCGCATGGCAACACGGGGAAGCGTATTGCAGTCTATGTGTATAAAAGGTATTGACTTTGTATAGGTCTACGGTTTCTTTTGTATTTGAATTACCTCTTTTCAACAATAGAACCGGTGTTTCTTATTGATCGTGTATTGAGTTTATGAACCTCTCAACAGCCTTTCGACAAATGAAGCTCGTTTTATTCCGCCCTGTTCGTACCATCGAGTTCTTTGGACTTTCACACAACACTTTGATACTTATAGTCAGGGCTCAAATTAATTTTTTGTCCACGGGGGCTCTTCCCCCCAAAAAAGAGCCCCCGTGAGCCTTCTCACGGGGGCTCTTTTAGTACTGACGGAGACTCTTTTTTATACAAATATCCATTGAATTGGTACCTATGATACTCCTCAATTATGTGCTATTTCATCATTATCATTCCAATCAACATTTTCCCTCTTACAAATTTACAAGCTACATAGCTGTTACTGGTCTGTGTATATAATATATACGCATACAACACTGATCTTTATGATGTCTTTAACGTGACATATCTTCTTCTCCCCTTGCAAACGAGAAAGAAAACAAGGTCATTAAAAGGGATTAAGCGACAAATAATGATTGTGATTCAAATTGATGCGAATATTTGTTTGAATAAGCACTGCTATTCACCCGAATCTTCTTTGTAAAAACAACTTTTACAAATCTCAGCCATGCTTACTGAGTTGAGACGTTCCATTCAATGTAAAACATATTGACTTTGTATAGGTCTAGTTTCTTTTGTATTTGAATTACCTCTTTTCAACAATAGAACCGTTGTTTCTTATTGATCGTGTATTGAGTTTATGAACCTCTCAACAGCCTTTCGACAAATGAAGCTCGTTTTATTCCGCCCTGTTCGTACCGTCGAGTTCTTTGGACTTTCACACAACACTTTGATACTTATAGTTCAGGGTTATGTTTGGACTCTCTCAAAACATCATCAAAATAGATTTGAATACACAGATAACAATTGCAATTTAGTCATGTTACTAGAGAACAGAGATAAAATATACAAAACATTTTTAACTAGAGAAATAGAACCCAAGTCACATTATTGTATTTTTTCATCGGTAAACAAAAAGTTGACACAATTGTACAGCAAACATACACGCCGTAAATCCGTAGTTTAGCGTCGTAACATGCCGTAACGCCGTATATAACGCCGTAACGCCGTATCGTTATATCCACAACGCATATTTTGACGGATCATTCATCTCTATGCTAAATCACCAAGTTTTCTAGAGCACCCACTCTCTTGTTGAGGTTTAACACTCTATTATTAACTCCGTAACTCTATTTCATACTTTCACCATCTCGACTCTATTTCAATCTCGACTCTATTTCCATACTTTCAACATCTCGACTCTATTTCACACTTTCACCATTTCGACTCTATTTCACACGTTCACCATCTCGACTTTATTCCATACTTTCATTAATCTCGACTCTATTTCCATACTTTCACCATCTCGACTCTATTTCCATACTTTCAACATCTCGACTCTATTTCATACTTTCACCATCTCGACTCTATTTCATACTTTCAACATCTCGACTCTATTCATTCTGGACATACTTTGTATGTTGTACGACTATTGTGACGTAGAATACACACATCCATGAAATAAAACACTATGTAGTACATAATTATATTTTACTTTATTTTACTATATTTGTTTCCGTTTCAATGTGGACAACTTTATGCAAAACCAGATTTGAATACAAAGATAAGAATTGCTATTTAGTCATGTTACTAGGGAACAGAGATAAAATATACAAAACATTTCTAACTAGAGAAATAGAACCCAAGTCAGATTATTGTATAACTTCATCGTGAATATTATTGTTTATTATTATTATTATTATTATTATTTAATTTGTTGTAATAATAATAATAATAGTTAGCTCTTATATAGCGCAT